TGCGCTCTTCCCTTTAATTCGCGCGATCGCTTGGTCAATCTTTCGGCCATCAGCGGACACGATTACCATCGGCGATTGTTGGATATGCGCATCATAAATACGCAAATCGAGCGAAGTTCGGCGATTCGGGCAATTGCGCCGGCCGGCGCGGCGGCCGGTCAATTTTGAACGATCTTAATCTGGAGCCGCGATTGAAATTCATGAAGCATAATCACCGGCGAAATTTCCGCGAACGGATTCCGCCGTGGCAGCCGTGGCGCAATTGTGCCGCGTGCGCGCACACGCGCGCGCGCGCGCGCGTTTCCCCCCTTGGTTTATTGTTTAAAACATTGATCAGCGAGCTCCCGAGGCAATTACCCGTGTGTCGTGCCCGCTGCGGCATTATTCTTCCGTCCCGGAATTAGCTCTGAATGTACCCGGCTGCCGATCGTCATTCAACCGGAAATCGATGAGCACTCGAACGTTTAACCGAACGATTTGTGTGCCCCGTACTGTAGAAAAAACCTGCCCCTTTCGACGGCGATGGGATTCTAACGAGACCGTTGAATGCCGCCGCGCAACGTGATCTCCGACCTGTTTGTTTCGTGCCGCGATCCACAGGCCGGTCATTTTAACCCACGCGCTTTCATTCGACTTCTGCCGATAGTTCACGGTTGAATCCCGCATTTTCAACCGGTCAAGTAAGCTGCCGTTCCCCAACTCCGATGCGTGCGGATACCTCGCAACAGGATACGGAGCTCGGTTTCATTGATTTGTAACCGTCCACGGGGAGCTTACCCCTTCTTTTTTTCTTTTTTTTTTTGCGTCGATCAACATAGCTCGCTCGAGAAGAGACGGGGGGCGCGCGTGTTTTCACAAGCTTCGTGTGACATTTTCCCTGTTTTTCTTTCGGGCTTAACGCCGGATCGCCAACGAAATCGTTAGCGACCAGTGCGAAGTGTTGCAATTCCCGCGTCTTGAACCGGCCGGTTCTACTTTCTAAACAATTGCAATTGATTCAGATTTGTCAGAGATGCTTTAGAGGCGATGTCTTTTATCGCACGGCGTAGACAAGTCGCGTGTATTCTATTGTTTCATCGATTTCGGATTACTATGCGAGCAGCGCGAATATTTATGCGCGGTGTAATAGCTGAATCTACACAAATGAATATTTAGTAAGATATAAATTATTACAGATGTCGCAAAATTTCATCGATCGATTGCGAAAATAGAGGTTTCTAGCTTCAAAATAAATCCGGGTTTATTGTTGTACAATTCTGTATTACAAAATTATAACGATCGAAATATAGAAGATTTACAATTCTGTCGTAAATCCATTCTAAAAAAAAAACTGCAGTACCGAACGATGAATCGTTGCTATTCTGATTCCCAACTGTAAAGAACGTAATCCGTGCCATAGGCAGAACAACCGCTTCTAATGCAAAATGCATAAAATCCGCGCGACAGGCCAACGTGCGCGCGCATTTAATTAATTAAATTAATTTCCATTACCATTAAATATATCCGTACATATTAAATTCGTGGAAAATAAGTCTTACATGGAGCACGGAAAATTCGCGCGGCTCGCAGCGTGGTAATACGTTTAATTAATTTCAATTAGTATTAAATGTGCCTCGTGTCCTATGCATTACTATAAACATTATAATTAATGTGAACGCAACAAAAGTCGGCGTATCCGAGTGAGGGCAACGGTAATCACCGTGCGTCATTGATACATTCGCGCATGCGACAACGCGCACTTAATTACGATTACAAGCGTTTTTAAATATTTCACGTCGCGAGAACACAGGATCCGGGGAATGTAGGTCATTCGATTTCGATGGGCGCTGCGCTGCGCTCGCGCTTCGTTCTTCAGCCGACGATGACTCTAACGCCGAGCGAGAATTAATCTACGCCCGTCATTACGTTAATAAATGGCGAAGCACTTTATCTTGTCGTTTTCCCGAGGAAAATAAAACTGTACGCAAACATTTGGTTTCCGGCTTTCAGCAGCGGCGAGCGTTAGTATCCGCGGGCGTTGCTGGGGTGCCGGTGCGTGCACACGGTGTAACGGGGGGGAAAAAAAAGGAATAAAAAAAAAGCTGCCCAACAGCGGTATTTATTCCGTGGCGCGCGATAACGGGGCGCGAGGTTTGATAAGCCTCCGCGTGCAACATTAGACACGCGTCTCAACGTTTATCTCTCGCGCTGGAATTTCCCTCGGACGCGGCAACGTAATCCTCTCTCTCTCCCCTGTTTACTATTTACAAGCGACGAGCGAGGGGAAGCCTGCGTTGTTCCGCACGAAACGTCACCGTTTTTTTTTCAATCGGATGGATTCCGACATTTTTTATACAGCTGTTGTTGAAATCAGGTTAATCCTGGACCGCTCTTTGCCAGCGAACAGCAGACACAGTTTTTCCGAGTATAATGATTTGCATTAATGGGTTGAAACCAGCGACCCCGTGGAGTGGCGCGCATAAGATAATTGCGAGCGTACGGAACGGCGACACGGCGGAACTTTGATTATCTAAATTGATGAAAGAGACACGAGCGTTCGGGTAGCAGAATTGCTAGTTATTGAAATTTGATGCGCTAATTTATTGTAGTTCTCTATTCAGTTTCATCTTCTACATAACATTTTTACATACGCGTTTCCAATAACATCGGTGTAATGAGAATTTAACTATTAATGAACAGAATTCAAAGTTCGTTTTAAGAAAGAAAACAATCACGATGTAACGCGACGAATAAACGAGAGCCAAATAGAAATGTAATTTTATGTCAAGATCAATCGTTCTCTCCGTCTTTAACAATTCTAAATTCTCTGAATTATTCGAGCATTTTAAACAGCATCTATTTTCACAGCAAAAGCATGAAATTCGCAGTATAACAATGACATTAATGAGTTGAGAATAATATTATTGATATTCTGAAATTCTTTGATTCACTAATTTATTATAGTTCTCTATTGAATCTTCTACATAACATTTTTATATACGCGTTTCCAATAACATCGGTGTAATGAGAATTTAACTATTAATGAACAGAATTCAAAGTTCGTTTTAAGAAAGAAAACAATCACGATGTAACGCGACGAATAAACGAGAGCCAAATAGAAATGTAATTTTATGTCAAGATCAATCGTTCTCTCCGTCTTTAACAATTCTAAATTCTCTGAATTATTCGAGCATTTTAAACAGCATCTATTTTCACAGCAAAAGCATGAAATTCGCAGTATAACAATGACATTAATGAGTTGAGAATAATATTATTGATATTCTGAAATTCTTTGATTCACTAATTTATTATAGTTCTCTATTGAATCTTCTACATAACATTTTTATATACGCGTTTCCAATAACATCGGTGTAATGAGAATTTAACTATTAATGAACAGAATTCAAAGTTCGTTTTAAGAAAGAAAACAATCACGATGTAACGCGACGAATAAACGAGAGCCAAATAGAAATGTAATTTTATGTCAAGATCAATCGTTCTCTCCGTCTTTAACAATTCTAAATTCTCTGAATTATTCGAGCATTTTAAACAGCATCTATTTTCACAGCAAAAGCATGAAATTCGCAGTATAACAATGACATTAATGAGTTGAGAATAATATTATTGATATTCTGAAATTCTTTGATTCACTAATTTATTATAGTTCTCTATTGAATCTTCTACATAACATTTTTATATACGCGTTTCCAATAACATCGGTGTAATGAGAATTTAACTATTAATGAACAGAATTCAAAGTTCGTTTTAAGAAAGAAAACAATCACGATGTAACGCGACGAATAAACGAGAGCCAAATAGAAATGTAATTTTATGTCAAGATCAATCGTTCTCTCCGTCTTTAACAATTCTAAATTCTCTGAATTATTCGAGCATTTTAAACAGCATCTATTTTCACAGCAAAAGCATGAAATTCGCAGTATAACAATGACATTAATGAGTTGAGAATAATATTATTGATATTCTGAAATTCTTTGATTCACTAATTTATTATAGTTCTCTATTGAATCTTCTACATAACATTTTTATATACGCGTTTCCAATAACATCGGTGTAATGAGAATTTAACTATTAATGAACAGAATTCAAAGTTCGTTTTAAGAAAGAAAACAATCACGATGTAACGCGACGAATAAACGAGAGCCAAATAGAAATGTAATTTTATGTCAAGATCAATCGTTCTCTCCGTCTTTAACAATTCTAAATTCTCTTAATTATTCGAGCATTTTAAACAACATCTACTTTCACAGTAAAAGTATAAAATCCGCAGTCTAACAATGACATTAATGAGTTAAGAATAATATTATTGATATTCTGAAATTCTTTGTGATTCCGTTCACTGCTTTGAATGTCGCTTCCTCATTGTTGTCACGACGCAAAAAATCAGCAATACAAAGAATACCAAGTTTTTGCTACGATGTATGTATTTCTATGTGAACGAAGTTCGGAGTAACGATTGCAAGAATGACGGCATCGGCGTCGAAGATCCATAATATCGATAACTTTTATATACAAATTTTCTCTGCACAGTGGTGCAACTCGAAACCGGTGGCGTGATCGTAGAAAGTAATAGCCACGATTTCGCGATCATTTCATTGCCCCACGGCTCGATCCTATCTACCGTACGGCGATAATGAGACAGGGGAATAATAATGAATAAACTGAGGTCTTCATGTATTCATAGAACATGCAACCGACCAACACGTGATAAAATGAAAACGATAATAAGAGCGCCGCGGGTGTCCGCGTAAATATTCATTTTCATGCATTAATCAAGGAAACAGAGAGTAGGTAAAGCAGATACTCGTTTAATCCTTTGAGTACCACGGTTAATTAAACGGAAGATACCGCTATTATTAAATAAAATTGAAACACGACTGTATTTCGTCGCGGTCGATTGGGCGGCACGAATACAGAGAATCTGCGGATTATAATAATCTAACGCGACGAGAAAGGATTGGATTAGTATGTTGGATTTAAATCTCTTCTTTCTTTTCTTTCAGTGATCGGCGTTGCCGCGGCAGGAATGGGGACCACCGCCAAAATTCGCAGCGAGAAATATTGCGTCGAGTAACTGGGAAATTATTATTAGGTTATCCTGGAATAAATCGCGACCGTCCGATCTGTTATACTTAGAGCGTTCGTATATAGCAGACATTTTCAATTTATGTTTTTACGCGGTATACCATTCTCGAGAGCGTAAATGTCACTCTACCATTTACTGTCTCATTTGGGCTCTATCGTGAGTTACGTTCTCGTTCGCGGCGATCATTTGATCTGATAAACGCGCCGGTGGAGAGAGGAAGTAAATTCGTACAATATTTGATACGCGAGTTTGAAATAGAACGCGAAGTGCAGTAGAAACTGCATGCAATATTAATCTGACGAACGTTCTTCGACGTACCGTCGGTTAAATTGTAATCTCGAAGGTACGACAATGAAATAAAATATTGGTTCGAACTGTTCAATAATTTGGAATCCTGATTTTTATTTTTTATGAAATGAGAGGTCTTGCAACGCGTTGGATAGATTGTACAGCATGCAGCATAGATTCATTTTAAGTAGAAACTATACCGTTCGTACGACATCTGCCGAAACCATGCTGTATTTCTGGAACGTTCTTTTTGATTTACTAAAATGTTCTAGTCGTTTAAATCATACGTTGAACAATAGTATTTTGTATTTAAGGATTTCGATGAAACCGATACAAAATATTACGGAAAAACTGTTTGACACGCGTTATTTGTAGTTACCGATATCCAAAAATCGACAGTGAAAGACATTCGGTCGAATAACTGTGAAATTTCTGAAATTAGAAGAAACATTGTAAATGGCAAAAATTTTCCGTTGTTTTAGTAAAATATTGAATTCTCTATACAAATTTCGGGAAGCTCGATATTTTTTCATATCGTGCATTGAGAAATGACACATATTTGTCTACTCCTCCAGCGAGGCATTAATCCATTTTCCCGTATATTTGCGTGAATACTTTGATCTACGTAAACGTCAAAGGTTAACGAACAAAGGTTACGTTCGTTTTCAAAGGCACAGTGATCTCTGAACACGCGAAGCAACGAAACAGGATGCATTGAATGACTATTAAAGCGCCTTTCCCGTCTGACATGCCGCGCGCATGGTAGTTTTAAAAATCCAGTAATTAGTTTACCAGCAGCGACACAACAGAAAACGTGTCGCCGGAAAAAGTGCATTTACGAGATTGCGTACTTTACGAGTTCCAACCGAGGAATAACGTGGTTGTAGCGAACCCGAAATTCGTGTCGCCTTTTCAGGGACGATGCGGTGTCGGAACAACGATGGTCCCAAATATTTTAGAACGGTGTTTCGGATCTCGGCGATGGAAGGAAATGTATCAAAGAATCTGCGCGTCGTAGAAACGGCATTGAAAAGTTTCCGAGGCAATGGGAGTGGAACGTCGACTACGTCATGGTGTTCGCATCTAAATATAATTGAGAGCAAAGTGCGTTCGATTATGTATAAGTGACCAGTTTACGTATACGTATTTTGTTTTCAAGGTATCGAAATTATAAAGACTCTTTCGTAGAAAATGATTCGACGAATTTAATAATTTAAGCATACATTATAACGAAAATAACGAGAGGTCTAAAAAGATACGATCTTGCCATTCTTATAAAGCAATCAACTCGCGTCAATTCAGTTGCTTTGCAGAACAAGTACGGAAGCTTCGTAAAATAGAAAATTTGGCGAAATTAAATAAAATTTTGATAAAGTAGGAAAATTTTATTTAACTTCGCCAAATTTTCTATTTTACGTAACTTCTATAATTATATTATAATAATAATAATGTAATAATATTTAATTTAATTTAATAATAATATTTATAATAATAATAATATAATATAATAATAAATTTAATAATAATATTTATTATATTATTACACATTGATATTATTATTATTATTATTATTATTATTATTACATATTATATTACAATATATATATATATATATATTTTTTAAATATGATCCTCTTGGAAA